GCAATGGCCTAAAAGCCCTCCACGCCGCCTTTATAGACTTTAAGCAGGCCTTTGATCTAATTCCCAGGAACCAGCTATGGACAAAATTGGCAGCGACATCTATCGACCGCCGCCTTCTCCTGCTGATTATTAATTTGCATACAAATACCCTCCTGAGGATTAGGATAGATAGTAAGGGGCTAGTCTCCAATCCGGTTGCCACCACTAGGGGGTAAGACAGGGCTGTTTGCTTGCCCCTGCTCTGTTTAATTTCTATATTAATTCGCTAGTGGTGCATATGGCATATGATTTCCATCAACCAAAACTGGCAGGACGAGCCTTGAATGTCCTACTGTATGCGGACGATGCCGCCGTATTAGCTACCTCCCCCATCGGATTAAGGAGGATGCTTCGAGCTCTTCATGAATATGAGACCCAACACGAGCTCCAACTAAATTATGCCAAGACCAAAATAATGGTCTTTGCTGCTCGATTGAAACCTAATTCATGGTCAATTAATGGTATTCTTTTAGAGCAGGTCAGTTGCTTCAAATACCTGGGTCAGGTTGTAAGATCAAATAGGTCCTTCTTGGGACACAGAGAATACATAGCCTCGAACGCATCCAAAGCAGCCTTGGTGATTAGAACCCTGTACTCCAAGAAACAGGCACAAACTGTCAAAGTTGCCTTGCGACTCTTTAAAATGAAAGTCCTCCCTCTTCTGCTGGTGGGCATTGCCTTGGGCTCACGTAGGGACTTTGAAAAATTGGAATCTATCCAAACCCAATTCCTCAGGGCCATACTCAGGATCCCCCCCTCCGTGGCAGGTGCGATCATGAGATTGGAAACCGGTTGCCAAGCCTTTAGGTATGTGGCCCTGAAAGCGAAGTTGTGGCTGTGGCTCAAGCTCTGCTTCAGACCGGTGGGTTTGGCCCCCTTGATTCTGAGGGATAACTTTAAATCTCCATGGGAAGGGGAGATAGTGGAGGAAGTGCAGAAGTGTGGGTTGTCCTCCCTTTATATAGAGTCCATGACGTATAGCCACGCAAAGGCGGTGATCGCTCAAAGATTAAGGGATATTGCCAGACAGGAGGACATAGCCCGTGTGAAACCTGGGTTGTTTCTGGGGGAGCAGTTGTATCGGGCTGCTCCAGCTCGCTACCTGGTGGATATCCACTACGTAGAATACCGCAGACTATTTACGGCGGCTAGGCTGAATGTTCTTGACTCGGCGGTTCTGAAGGGAAGATATGGAGGAGTCCCATATGACCAGAGATTATGCCACTGTGCATTGGGTGAGGTAGAATCCACAGAGCACATTTTACTGAGCTGTCCCTTCTACAACGATTTAAGACAGTATCTTATAACTCCATACTTACCCCAGCTCAGTTCCCGACAAAGAGGAAAGCAGACAGCATATCTGCTAAATAAGTCTTCTGGGAAAACAACTTTGTCAGTGGCTAACTTCCTTTTCCTGGCACTCAAGTGTCGGAAACGTATAACTGAATGCTTTGATGTGGGTTATCTGTGAGAGGTCTAGTACTGTGGCCCTACCTTATTTATGTACCCCTATGATGTTATAGTTTATAATTATTGTGTAATGTTTTATTTCTGACTATCGGTCGAATAAAGGAAATTGTATTGTACTTAAAATCATGCTCCTCACTTAAGGTACTCGGAGGAAGACTCTTTGGAGCCTCTCTCAAATAACAAACATTTGCACCCTTCATTCTCATTTTGTTTTTGTTTTTTTTCCTGTTTTAAGATTGATAAGGTCCAGCATGGCTTCCTTAGATTTGAAATATTGAAGCAAGCTTGCAGTTTAAACTATGCACACTTAAGAAAAGCAGTCTGCCAGAGACAGAAGGAACAGACAACACACGTAACAGACAACATGTAAACATATATATTCTCCTCCTTTAGTTGGTTATTTCAAGGAGTTAGGCCGCTTCCTTTGGCTTCATTAAGTGAAATTAGTAGGAAGGTCCCACATGGTTTTATGAGCCTCCTTGCCTCTTCAGACACACCACCAGTTAATCAAACTGGCAGGGCTCACAACGCTTGGTTGACTGGGTACCCCTTTATATATGCATGCGTTGCTGTTGTTGCTTTTTTGTTGTTTTTCTTTTTTGGGGTGTCTGGGATAGAGAAGGGAGAAAGAGAGGGGTTGATTAGGATTTGGGTAACTTGTACAGGGGGCTATTTAGGGTTTTCCTTTTCCTTGTTGCTTGGCAACTTCCTAGTGGTTTATTGAGCTCTAGCTATCCGGTTACCTCTCGTTCCTTTCCTTATTTCCTATTCCAAATCTTGGGGTTCCTTTCCACTCTGCCAAATCCTGCCCAATTCCTCATGGGCTATGCCTCCTGGCAACCTCCTACCTATCGCCACAATCTCAGGAAAAGGGGCCCTACTGAATGCCCGCGCCGTGCGGTGCCAGATCGGGTGATCCCTGGATAGAGTTTTGAACCGAAAATCCCCCTTGCTTTTGGAAGTGGGCTCACGCACGATACACGTGTTACGTGGCACCGACCAGTGCGGCTGGGATTGAGACAGAAAGCCAGACCCTTTCCTGCCCCCTTGCTGGGCGCTAGGGAAGTTCGGAAAGAGAGCTCCAATCCCTTGCTTTCAACTGAGATGCCCGTTGCGGAGAGTCGGCTGTCTTTCAAGTCAGCTCTCTCCGTCTTACTTTCGGGCTCCCAATTGGTGTGGCTGGCTGAAGATTTTTAAGAGAAAGAGATAGAGCTCAGAACTCCCCTTTCAGGTTGAGCAGTGGTCCACGGTCTCTCTCACTAACCGGACCAAGAGAAAGGTAAGAAGGAGCGATAGAGAGGAGGGCAGAGAATTCAGTTGCCAGGAGATTTCCACCCCCTTCCCACCAGTGCACTGGATTTTTCCTTTTCCTTATACTCACGCGTCTTCTATGATGATCCCGGGATCGATGAATAAGCCGACTGGATCCCTCTTTGCTCCCCGGCTGAACTCCTGGGGCTTTCGATTACCACCCGGAAGATGGCCGGGGGTCCAAAGGATCTTCCCAGGCAAAATGGCCCGGTGCCGGCTGAAGATTTCAGGCGCCATCTGTTACGGTAAAATCTGCGTGCGAGGCTGCTCTGCCACCCAGATCATCGGAGTAAGTCCGCAGGTCCCTGCGGAGGAAAATGAGCTCAGCCGGAGACAGGAGCAAGCTGCAGAAGATCCAAGTTTATTGCGCAACAGGTTCAAGGCGAGATTGAACCGCGAGAAAGGGGTGACATAAACTTTTGAAACTTCTCTCCATGCCCCAGAATACAGTGCAAAACACATCCCAGTTACATCATGAATACATTAAGAAGAGGTTGGGTTACACAGATTACATCATGAATACATTAAGAAGAGGTTGGGGTTACACAGGAATTAACATATGGAGGAGGGAGGGGGGAATATGCAGAGGCTGGAGATATGCGCAGATAAGCGCATCCTGAATACCGGTGATGAATAGACAATGGTCCATGTACTGTCATTGCCCGGAGGAAAGGCTTGGCAGAGTGATTTGACAGGATTGGGGTCTTGACACCTTGCTTGAGGGATTATGAAGGACAGGGGAGGTGTCATGGAGTCCTAGAGAAATTGAGCAAATTGGCACGTTGATTTTCTATGAATTTTATAGACTTTAGTCCCTTTTGACATTGACAATTGGAAATAAATGGATATATTATAGCGAAGAAGAAGGTGAAGAAGACATGCCCCCCCCTTTCCGTATCACACCTAAACATTAGGAAGAACTTCCTGACAGTAAGAGCTGTTCGACAGTGGAATTTGCTGCCAAGGACTGTGGTGGAGTCTCCTACTTTGGAGGTCTTTAAGCAGAGGCTTGACAACCATATGTCAGGAGTGCTCTGATGGTGTTTCCTGCTTGGCAGGGGGTTGGACTCAATGGCCCTTGTGGTCTCTTCCAACTCTATGATTCTATGATTCTACCCCACTGGCTCTCAACAAGACTCTCAGGTTACCACCACAACTCCTCCCTCAACCCCTCCTCTTTGTGATGTGTCAATGATGTAGTCATGATGTAGTCTTGGGGAAGTAGCATGGGGGATTTGTCCTCCATAATCTCTCAAGTAATCCTGTCAAAATCACTCTGCCAAACCTTTCCTCCGGGCAATGCCAGGTGACAGACTATGCGTACATGGACCATTGTCTTCTCAGGATGTGCTTATGTGCGCATATCTCCAGCTCTGCATATTCCCCCCTCCCTCCTCCATATGTTAATCTGTGTAACCCAACCTCTTAATGTATTCATGATGTAACTGGGATGTATTTTGCACTGTATTCTGGGATATGGAGGGAAATTTCAAAAGTTCATGTCACCCCTTTCTCTCTGTTCAATCTCGCCTTGAACCTGTTGCGCAATAAACTTGGATCTTCTGCAGTTTGCTCCTGCGTCCGGCTGAGCTCATTTTCTTCCGCAGGGACCCACGGACTTAGTCCGATGAGCTGGGTGGCAGAGTAACACTGCACCCAGATTTTTCCGTAACAGTCTTCAATCAAGACCTACTGGCTGCTCTTTTGCTCTGCTCTTCCTGGCTGGTCTCCTTGTTTCTGGTCCAAGGGATCCCTCAGATTTTGGAATCCGCTTCTGGCTACAATTGTATCGGCTGCTTTGCTGAGCCTCTTGGCTGTTGTGCCTGGACGGGGCCTGTGTCCACGGTCCTTGTCCTGGCCTGAGTCAGAGGCTGGGGTGGGGAGCTGGGATTTGGGGGGAGTCGTTTAGCTGCCCCCCTCTATTCCTGGTTTGAACAGCACCAATACCTAAAGCACGGAGGGATCTAAGCTCGTGGGGTGGGGGAGGGTGTAGCACCTTTGGGGGGGACCCCACTTGGCAACTGGATCTCCGGGATTAGCCCCTCCCCCGCTCTCCTGATCCAGAAGGAAGACGGTAGAGGGGAAACCTTCTTCTCCCCCCTCAATTCTTTCCCTCCCCTCCCGGCACCTCCTCCTCTCACCCCGCCCCACAAGCCCAGATCCCGCCCCCAAACGTCTCACCCCTCCCTCCTCCTCCTCCAATCCGGCTCTTCTGTCCCAGGAATGGGGGGTGTGAGCCCCCTCCCACCCTGCCTTCTTCTCTAGGACGTGGAGCTTCCTCTTCGGATTGCTGCTCTGCCCCGTAGATCTAGGGGGGGCGGCTTTCGATGCTGCGGGAAAGGAAAGGAGAATCGGGAGCGAGGACAAAGAGGTAAAGGGGTCGCGGGGGGGGGGGAGAGGGAAGAAAAGGACCCAGAGACCCCTCCAGCTCCCCCAAGCGCCTTCCGTGGGGCCTGGATCCCGGCACGCGTGCTGCGAAGGGGCGGAGATGGGGCGCCCACCCACGAGGACTCCCTGGCCCCTTTCCCCCGCGCAGGCATCCCTGGGGCGCGGAGAGAAGCCAGGATAGAGACCCCCCCTGTCCCCCCTTGCTCTTCTTGGGGGGCAATAGGGACGGAGAGATGGGTTGCGCCTGGCGAGGGGTGAGCCAAGGGGCTCTGGGTGAAGGGGAGACTCAGGGATGGGGGCGCAAGGGCGGGGGAGGGAGGAGACGAGGACCCAGAGACCCCGCCAGCTCCCCCAAGCGCCTTCCGTGGGGCCTGGATCCCGGCACGCCTGCTGCGAAGGGGGCTTTCCTCGCAGGGCGGACCCCTCGCCCGGTTTCCCCAGGCTCCGCGCGTCCCATGAAAAGCTTAAGGGGCGCAAGAGACGCCTGGATAGAGACCCCCCCTGTCCCTCCCTTGCTCCTGTTCGGGGGGGGCATGCAGATGGAGAGATGGGGCGTAGGACGTGGGGTGAGTGGTGCCAAGGAAGCCTTTGGGTGCAGGGGAGACTCCGGGAGAAAGAGAGGGGGTCATGGAAGGAGGGGGGAGAAGGGAGCATTGGCAGGGTGGGTGGGAAGATAGGAAGACCAGTCTTTGGGGAGACATTTCCATCATGACGCCCACGATGAATCTCCGGAGGGGCCGCCTTGGCTTCTCCCTCCCGCCAAGCAATCAACCCCCCCCCTTCAGGGCGACCAGAGAGGGATTCCTGGAAAGTGGGGGTCCTGTCCCCCCACCCTTCCATCCTGCAACCTCCATCCTCTTCCCACCTCATAAGCCCCTGACCTGTCCAGTCTAACCACTGGTCCCCTGGAGAGGAGAGGAAATCCCCAGAGGGAGAGGGGAGGGGGGAGGCCTTCTCAGAAGCCGTTCTCTGATTCCACAATCCCACCCAGGAAGCAGCCAGAAACGTTTTCCTCTTTCTCAGGCTTCCATCTTTTCCTCTGAGGATGAGGATAATATACACCTGTCATCAGAAACAGGGGTGCAGAGTCCATGGAATGGCTCTCAGGATTGATAGAGAATTTGCACCTCAAAAGCATTTCTGTTCCTCTTAAACATCGACTGACAAGCTGAGATACAACCCATCATCATCCGATGACAGCGACTGCATGAATCTTCCCAGTCAAAAGAGCCATTTTCATGATAGACAGTGCCTGGGGCTGGAGGCTCTACATACCGGGTGTGCCTGTGCAGGCCAAAGACTGCCAGTATTAGCACAGGTGAGGTGGTTGACCTCCCCAAATTTACAGACTGTGTGTGAATGAGTGTTTGTGGGTGGGATTATAGTTTATGGCAACCCTGTGATTTTCTCCACCCATAACATTTCGTAAGCTAATATTGCAGTAAAAATTCCAAAATAACTCCCCCCAAAAATCACACGATAATAATAATATTACAGTGGTACCTCAGGTTAAGAACTGAATTCGTTCTGGAGGTCCGTTCTTAACCTGAAACTGTTCTTAACCTGAGGTACCACTTTAGCTAATGGGGCCTCCTGCTGCCGCCTCTCGATTTCTGTTCTCGTCCTGATGCAAAGTTCTTAACCCAAGGTACTATTTCTGGGTTAGCAGAGTCTGTAACCTCAAGCGCCTGTAACCTGAAGCACCTGTAACCCAAGGTACCACTGTAGAAGTTCTAGTATTAGTATTTTCCCCCAGCCACTCTTGGCAGCTTACAGTACATATAGGTAAAGGGACCCCTGACCATTAGGTCCTGTTGTGGCCGACTCTGGGGTTGCGGCGCTCATCTCGCTTCACTGGCCGAGGGAACCAGCGTACAGCTTCCGGGTCATGTGACCAGCATGACTAAGCTGCTTCTGGCAAACCAGAGCAGCGCACGGAAACGCCATTTACCTTCCCGCCAGAGCGGTACCTATTTATCTACTTGCACTTTGATGTGCTTTCGAACTGCTAGGTTGGCAGGAGCAGGGACTGAGCAATGGGGGCTCACCCTGTCGCGGGGATCGAACCGCCAACCTTCTGATCAGGAAGTCCTAGGCTCTATGGTTTAACCCACAACGACACCAGCGTCCCTACAGTACATATACAAGACAGTAAAACATCCAACATTAAAAACCTCCTGATACAGCTGTCTTCTAAATGTCAGATAGTTGCCTACCTCCTTGCCCTCGGAAGGGAGGGCATTCCATGGGGCAGGAGGCCCTCTGCCTGGTTCCCTGGAACTTCACTTCTATCAGCAAGGGAACCAGCAGAAGACCCTCGGAGGCGGACTTCCCTGTCCGGACTGAGCGGTGGGGGTGAAGATGCTCCTTCAGGTCCACAAGGCCAAGGCTGTTGAGGGCTTTAGGTTGCAGATCTTGCTCCTCCCAGTGTCGTAGCGTTGGTTGTCAGCACCCGGGGCAAGGCAAGTAATTTGCGCCCCCTAACCTGTGGCTTTTAGCACTGTGAGTGCGAGCGCGACCCCCAGATGTTGCGCCCAGTGCGGCCGGCCCCCCCTGTACCCCCATGCTACGCCACTGGCTCCTCCATAATGATCAATGTATAGTTAGCAGAGTAGGAAAACACGCACGGTCAGGAAAAAAGTAATTCAGCTAAGAAATTTATTACTGAAGACAGATAAGCATAACAGGTTCCAAAAAATAGCAAAAATGTAACTCACAGTAAAACCCTGACTTAGCATGCAAACACAGCACTCAAGTAAGAATCAGACAGAATACAGTGGTGCCCCGCAAGACGAATGCCTCGCAAGACAGAAAACCCGCTAGATGAAAGGATTTTCCATATCGGAGGCGCTTCGCAAGACGAATTTCCCTATGGGCTTGCTTCGCAACACGAAAATGTCTTGCGAGTCTCACCATTTCCCCCCCGCTTCCTCCCCCTTTTTCTAAGCCGCTAATCCTTTCATAGCCACTAAATCGCTAATAGCGCTAATCCTCTTAGCCGCTAATGGGGTTGCTTCGCAAGACGAAAAAACCGCTAGATGAAGAGAATCGCGGAACGGATTCTTTTTGACTTGCGAGGCACCACTGTATAGTAATATCAGACTATGAAGTGGGAGCAGGCGCATTTCAATACTGTAATTTATATATAGTTCAATGTCAGAGTAACCCTGGGACTAGATAACAAGCCTCCAGCTGGATGTGCCCCATCTGCCCTTCACGTTCCTCTTCTGCACGGGCAGAATCTGCCTTCTGGACTGTGGGATTCACGGTTGTTCTCCTCCTCTCCATCCACCAGGGCTTGACTTCACGTGCAGCAGAATCCCCCAGCCCCCCAAGGATTTGAGACCCATCAGCTTTCCTCACCTGGGTTAGCCGGCTGGTTGAAGCCGTTGCTTGAACCCCTGTTGCATGCTGACAGCTTCTGGAAGCCACAGGTGAGAGCTGAGTGCAGGGTGGGGACCAAGGGTGGAAAAATGACCCCAGAAGGTGCAGGACATGACCACCACCAAAGGAACTACTGCTCCCCAACACCCCATGACATCTTGATTCAGGTAGGTAGCCGTGTTGGTTTGACGCAGTTGAAATAAAAAATAGTCCAATAGCACCTATGATGGTTCTAGATTTAAGCTTTCCGTGTGCATGCACACTTCTTCAGATATACTGAGACAGATGTCACCAGACCCTTGTATATCGTGGGAGGGTGGGCTGGGGTTTTTCTCAGAAAGGTACTCCTACTTCCATCTCCTACTACCCATCACTATATGAAGAAGTGTGAATGCACACGGAAGCTTATACCTAGAACAAATTTAGTTGGTCCCTAAGGTGCTGCTGCTGCTGTTGTTGTTTAGTCATTTAATCGTGACCGACTCCTTGTGACCCCATGGACCAGAGCACGCCAGGCACTCCTGTCTTCCACTGCCTCCCTCATGCGGGTAGCTTCGAGAACACTGTCCCACCATCTCGTCCTCTGTCGTCCCCTTTTCCTTGTGCCCTCCATCTTTCCCAGCATCAGGGTCTTTTCCAGCGAATCTTCTCTTCTCATGAGGTGGCCAAAGTCTTGGAGCCTCAGCTTCAGGATCTGTCCTTCCAGTGAGCACTTAGGGCTGATTTCCTTCAGAATGGATAGGTTTGATGTTCTTGCAGTCCATGGGACTTTCAAGAGTCTCCTCCAGCACCAGAATTCAAAAGCATCAATTCTTCGGCAATCAGCCTTCCTTATGGTCCAGCTCTCACTTCCATACATCACTACTGGGAAAACCATAGCTTTAACTATACAGACCTTTGTTGGCAGAGACCTTAAAATGTCTCTGCATTTTAAGATGCTGTCTAGGTTTGTCATTGCTTTTCTCCCATGACCCTAAGGTGCTACTGGACTATTTTTGTTACTTTTTTACTTCAGCTGTGTCAGACCAATATGGCTACCTACTATTAAGTACAGTTATCTCCTTGCCTTGAATATCCTGCTTTTCAGTGCCAGATTAGGATAGTCCTCTGTCAGAAGACAAGCACAGGATCAGGCAGCACATCATCATTATAAAGAACCATTGGGGTGGGTGCTTCCGCATGGGATTCCCATGTGCCAGCTGCTTTCCTTCTGCTTCTCCTGCTCTCTCCATGCAATGTGAGGCATGTAGACAGAGGTCCATCTCCAAGAACAGGAGCTTCCTTGAGCACCCATTCAGCTGGCGCCAAGCACCAAGCCTTGCCACTAGTTCTCTGACTGACCCAGACCACAGTCCCTGGAAAGGATGTAGACCTGGGTCTCACATAATGGTCCACATGGACCTCCTGAGGTCAGTGGGACTGTGCAGGTGATTCATGAAGATCTAGAGGTGGAAACGGGGGCAACCACTTGATTTGAAAGGCAGTCTTAGAGTAAAAATTCTTGCTAAATGTAGTTTTTATCAATCTCTTTATCTCTTCATAAATCATGTTCAAAAATCTTTGTATTTCTAGACAGGACCACCACATATGGTAGTATGT